TTTTATTTATTAAAAATTTATTTTAAAATATTAATATTTAATTCATAAATAATTATGATAAATAAAAATTAAATTAAAGAAGAAGTTAAAAAAATCCTACAAACCTTCATGTTGAAGAAAAATCCCTAAAAACACTATAAAATGTGATATTTTGGTTGGTTTGCATGTGCTGGAAATGTTGATTTTTGAAAGTTTTGAGCAAGATTTTCGAAACTTGGTGAGTTGCTGCTCGGCATCACGCCGGGCGCAGTTCTTGGCACCGGGCGCGTGACCACCAGAGGGCTCCATTTGGGCAAGCCCGCTGGGCGAAAAGATGTGTGCGCCGGGCGAGCTTGAGAATGTGTGCCTCTGGATGGCCCACGCCGGGCGTGGTAGGACCGCGCTGGGCACGATATGAGTATGTGACATGTTTTTGGGATTTCTGGTGTGGCGCCGGGCGTGACCACGTCTCGCCGGGCTGGAGACTCCTTGGGAGTCTTTGCCAGAGGTGGCACCAGGCGCAATTGATATTGCACCGGGCGTGAGACTTCGGGGAAGTCTCTACTTAGGGTTTGCACACCAGGCGTGTGAGACCTTTTGAGGTCTCTGTCTCCTAGCACGTCGGGCGCAATGGGAATTGCGCCGAGCGCGTTGGGGCCCTGATGCTCTCTGGTTGTGCCACGTCGAGCGCGACCATGAGTGCGCCGACCGCAGGTGTGATGGTTACTTATATGCTGTTATGTGTTGAATCATGCTGAAATTGCTGGTAGATGTTGTTATATGCTGAGTTGACCTGTAAATGATGAATATTGTTGTGCTGTTAGATGTTAATGCTGAATTATAATATTATTGTGCTGTGAGCTGATTAAGCTGGGCTGTGAGTTGTTTAAGCTATATTTTATGATGTTGAGCTGTGCTGTATGCTGTATGCTGATATTGCTGATTTGCTGTGCTGTGCTGCATGCTGATATAAACTGTTGTAGGCCGTAAGGCTGAGCTGTTGTAGGCCGTAAGGCTGAGCTGTTGATCACTAGGACTAGAGGAGATGTTTTTCGAAATTCCTCATCCCATTGTGTGGATTGAGTGACTGTGGTGCTCTTAGAGCCCAATTTGTTGAAAACCCTCCCTGGAAAGCTGACCCTTTAAGTGGTAACTTGTTGTTCTCCTCTAAGTTCTTAGTGGTCCCGTGTGTGGGCAAGGTCGAGGAACACATGTACAAAGTGACCACGATATAGGGGACAGGTTGAGCTATACCGCTTACAAGAGACCAAATTTAGCTGATATGCATGACGACGCATTTGTGTGGTTATTTCTGTTTATGTTGTAGATGTGCTGAGTTGTATGCTGATGATGTGCTGATAGCTGTAGCTGTTTACCATTCATGTATCTTTATATATGTATATTGATTCTTTTCACTAGCTTACCCTTTGTTGTTTCCATGTGGTTTGGACTGCAATGATCATACTATGTATGGGAGCAGAGCAGGGATAGGTTGGTGTCTAGAGGTAGGTCTGTAGCTGGCAGATGGAGTTACTCTTTTGTTGTTTTCAGCTACTTAGTGTAGCAATTGGGCTGTATTTTGTATATTTGGATTTTTAGCCCCAGATTGGACCTTGTGTATATATTCTAGTTGTTTATATATATACTTGCTCTTTTCTGTGTGGTGTTGTGGTGTACTGTGCTGTATGTAGTGACCAGTTGGGTCGTTACAATTATGATTATCAATTATTAATTTTTTAATCAATAATTGTGAGTGTGTTTTATAGGTTAAAATGCACTCTTTCACTTTAAAAGAGCTAAATTCATAAATCACACACTTTTTTTTTAATTAAATTTATATTTTTATTAATTTTTTTTAATAAATCTCAATCATTAAAAGAAAATATGTTTAAAAGAGAATGTATTCGATCACTCTTGTTGAATGAACTGTTGTGAGTAGGGATGACAAATATACTCGTACCTGCGAGTAATACTCGAACCCGTCCCAACTTTGACGGGAAATACCCGGTTTGACCGGGTACGGGTACGGGTAGGGATGGCAAAATGGGTCGTGGCTCGCGGGCCGGCCCGTTGGCCGCCAATTTTTGGCAAGTCGGACCCATCATTTCAGCCTGCCAACCCACCAAGCCCGCCTTGCCAAGCCCTCCAACCCGGCGGGCCAAATAGCGGGCTGGCCCGTCACAACCCGCCAGCCCGCATAGGTGATTGGGCTTTAGTATAAATAAAATAATAGGCTTTATATAAAAAAAAAATCAGGCCCAACATGTAAAAAAAAATCAGATTCCCAAATTAATGTCTCATCAGCAAACTTTGCTTTCACATATATCTGGCAAAGACACATAATTATATGCAGAAGGACCCTACATGTTTTATGGTTTTCTCGATGGGAATGGGTCCACTATCGATCTTTGGCTAGAGTGAAAGAAACGTTTGCACACCCTGGTGGAACTTTGAGTACACTAACTGCCATTTTAATGATAGCTGGAATCAAAGGAAACATGGACTATTTTTTTCCATTTTTTTGCAAATTATTTTTTGGGTATGCGGGCTGGCCCGCCGGCCCGCCAACCCATCTTTAGGCGGGGCAGGCCAGCATTTTCAGCCCGTTTTTCATCGGCGGGCCAAAAAGGGGCGGGCTGGCCCGTTTTGCCACCCATAGGTACGGGTACGGGTAAAACCCAATATATTAAATCGGGTACGAGTACGGGTACGGGTATGTACTTACCCGCCCCGTACCCGTACTCGTCTCCATTCTTATTTTTAATTTAATATTTACTTTCAATTTAATTATATTAAAAAAATTTAATATTTTTTCTGTGCGATTATTTATTATCATATGAGATAAAATAAATAACCTAATTATAATTATAATATAATAAAAAAATAATTTAAAAATATCAGTTTTTTTAACAAAAAAAAAATTAATGAGTACGGGTATACCCGATACCCGACAGAGACAGAAATAGGTTTAACTTGCAGAAATAGAAACGGGTATCATAAAACTCGTACCCGACCCGCCCGGTTGCCATCCCTAGTTGTGAGGTGAATCTCACTCTAAAAGAATAATAAGAATTAACTATAGTCTGTAGATGCTTGACACTTGTGCCAACCTCGATTGAGTTGCTGAAGTTGCTATCATTTGTGAATTTGGCCATGAGTTGACAAAGACACCTTCATCGTCTCACTCAAAACTGGAACAAAAGATTGTTAGTGTGTCTCTGTCTCTTACCTTAGTCTTTCTCTATCACACACTCACTCTCAGCCCCCACAAACATCCGCTGCACCAATCACAACTCACCCCTTTTCACTATCTCTCTTCCATAGATCCCTGTCTTCCAATCACTTCAACACACTTGACACATTTCTCTTCACTCCCTGTACTACTCCCTGCACAACACACACAACTCATAGCCACTGCTATTCTTCTTAAAAGATTTCAACTTTTTGCTTTTCTCAATTGCCCCCTCTTCACTGTTTTTGGTCCTATCAAAGATTCTAGCTCCAATTGTCCAATACTACATAGATACGTGTATTTATCTTTTAGATGCTCTTGGGAACCCTCCCAAGTCCCAATTATTGAGTGTCACTCTAGGAACCTCTCTAATGGGGATTTAGCCTTTTCCTTTCTCTTTTGCTTTTTGGTGATTGTTTCATCTTCTCTTAGATCTGAAGAGTTCCTTAAGGGTTCAACCTTTGTCCATCATTTTAAGTTTTGGAAACAAAGCCTCTTCTAGATTCCTTCCAAATGCTTGTTGATTACATGTTTCTTTGTCCATAAGAAGCTCCTATCTGGGTTACCTCTCTCTCTTTGAACTTTTCTTAGAGATAGAGGTTGAATTATAGAACACTGTTTTGGCATGCTTCTTGCTATGTGCAACTGTTAGTTGGATCAATGGATAGGGGAATTGAAGTACTCTCTCCAGCCTCCTACTTTCAAAATTCCAATTGGTTGTTCCAGGAAAGCAAGGGAGCAAGATGGACCCCAGAGGAGAACAAGGTGTTTGAGAATGCTTTGGCTTACTTTGATAAGGACACACCAGATAGATGGATGAGGGTGGCAGCCATGATTCCAGGAAAAACTGTTGGTGATGTGATCAAACAGTACAGAGAGCTAGAGGAAGATGTGTGTGTCATTGAAGCAGGTTTGGTCCCGGTTCCTGGCTATACTGCTGCCATTTCTTTCACATTGGAGTGGGATGATAACAATCAAGGCTATGATGAGTTCAAGCAGTTTTGTAGTGTTGGTGGGAAAAGGGGTGCATCCACTAGGCCATCTGAGCATGAAAGGAAGAAAGGAGTGCCATGGACTGAAGAGGAGCATAGGTAATTAATTGCATATCATCACCTTCAGCAGTGACCTCAAATTAGACTAATGTTCAAATTTATGGGTTATTCAAGTAATGAAGAATCATTGATTAGCTAGGATGGTAAAATGCTTTCTATTTATGATGTTTCTTTGTAGTAAGTAATCTATGACTGCAATTTTGGCGATAATATCAAGGTTTTCAAGGTCTATGTGACCGCAATTATGGTTGCATTGACCACATTTGTCTACAATTTCTCACAATATCAAGAATCGTGCCATGATTTCAATTTTCAACTTAAAACATTGTTTATATTTATTCAACTTTGGATGGTTGATTTATGGTATTTGGTTGGTTGAGTGTTTATAAATCAGCTTCTGCTTGATTATTATGTGATCTTGCCATGACATGTGCTTTTCTAGCTGTTTCTATGCATTTTCATATTTGCCTCATGTTCAGGGTGTTTATCTTTACCTGTTTTAATGCCCTTGGTTATGTAACAACCACAGGCAATTTCTGCTGGGTCTCAAGAAGTATGGTAAAGGAGATTGGAGAAACATCTCTAAGAACTTTGTGACCTCAAGGACACCAACTCAGGTTGCAAGTCATGCTCAGAAGTACTATATCAGGCAGCTTACAGGAGGGAAGGATAAGAGAAGGTCTAGCATCCATGACATCACAATGGTCAATCTCCAAGAAACAAAATCTCCTTCATCAGACACTACAAGGCCCTCTTCTCCCTTGCAGAATCAGAAATTGTCTAGCATGCTTAAGCAAGAATATGAGTGGAAATTGGCGTGTGAAGACATGCCAATTGTTTTCAATTCAACAAACGGAAGCATGTTCATGGCAACGCCACTTCATGGGATTTCTTCATATGAATCTAGACCACAGGAGCATGATTTACTCGGACAATCTCCATGGATGCCGGTTTTCACCTTATGATACTATTTTGCAAATGCAATTGATGAACAATATGATCTATGCATGTGATGCAGGGTTTAGAGTTTTGAGGGTACAAAAGTTTTAGACCTTTTCCAGTGACTTTGGATTGCTTCATAGATGGTTTGTGTGATATGTTGAGGTGGACTTGAGTTAGTTTCTAATAATTAGAATATTTGTAGAGGTTAGTTCCAATTGTGTTCTGATATTAAAATTCTGGGACTATTCTGTCAGAGAAGTTAAGTTTGGGATGTATAATATGATCTTCTGATTACAAGTTTGGTAATTTGATTGTAGTTAGGTGGTAGGCTTGAGTGAGCTTGCAATTGATGTTCATCTTCCTATATAGGGAGGAGTTATCTGCAGAGTGCCCTGAGAAAGAGAAGTTATATCTTAACTTTTTATAAGATGCTTCAAATATACATGAAGTTCCAAGTTTATATATAGAATTAAATAAAAAGATCAATCATGTTGATGTACTAGTGGTGTAATATAAAGCAATTTGTGTTGATTTTTATTAGTCTATGTTAGGAGTGTATTTATTATTTAAAGCCATAAAGTATGATTATACCAGAATGCTTTTTCAAATGTGATGAGGAGTTGGACAGAGCTTTGGTCCTCGTTTACTGAATGAAATGTGATCATAAAGCTTTTGATATGAAACATAATGTCTTGGGACCATTAGTTCTACAACCTGGTGGACACTAAGATCCGAGTCCACATCTGCAATAATTTATTGTTTTATTTGCTGCCTCTAATAAGTCTATGTGTTAGTTTTTTTAAGGTTTAAATATGTTTTTAATTTTTTAAATTTAAAATAAATTTATTTTTAGTCTATTAAACTTAGAATTGATTTTTTTAGTCTCTATAATTTTAAAACAATCTTATTTTAATTTTTATATTCAAATTTTGTTAGAAAATTTGTCAAATATTGTCATATAAAATATACAGACTAGTGTTCCTTTTAGTGCAAACATCACATTAAACACAGTTAATACGGCATAGTTGTCTTAATCTATTATTTTTGGATGTGTTATTGGTGACCTAAGGAATTAAAATAAGAATTTTTAAAATTATAAGTCTAAAATCAATAATTTTAAATTTAAGAGACTAAAAATAAATTTATTATAAATTTGAGAGACTAATATTTAATCTTTTTTTTATGACTCACACAAATAGAATTAAGTACTAAGAGATTTATAATATTCACGCATCAACTAAGTCAGATTTTTTTTTTTATTGTTGCTTTTGATTATTATTATTATTGTAAAGAGAAGGGATTGACTTATTTTAAAAATTATTTTTAATAGACTTATTTTACTCAATAACTCATATTTTATATCAAATTTCAATGATTTAATCATTAATTTAAAAGTTTTGCAAAATTTTAAAAAAATTGAAAATCATATGATAATTTATTATATAGATTTAAATTAATGTATAAAATATTTTTGTGATTATCTATCAGTTTGAATTGATGAAATGAAGTATTAAATGATTTTAAAATTCTTTAATTTAACGGTTAAATTATTGAAATTTGATATAGAACATGAATTATTGAGTAAGCTAAGACTACCAAGACTTATATTTAAAGTAATTGGATTTGTCCTCGTATATATATA